GGGTGGGGGCACCCCTGGGGGCGCACGCCGCACCCCGACGCGGAGGCGGCAGGTGCCTGCGCGTCGAATGCCCGAGGCCGCAGCCGTCCCGCGCTGGGGTGCTCCCTCGAGTATCGGTGCTCGTGCTCTGCGCGGGAGAAAGGTGAGGCTTCCCCGCCTGGCGGCGCGGCTGTTTTCTGGACAAACAGCCTCGCCCCACCTATAATTAGAGGCTTCGTCAAAGCCCCGAGGCGGGGGGCGGGCCGCTGCTGCCCCGAGCCGGCTGGCCACATTTGCCTATTTGCCTTGGATTGGTTCGCGGGAGCGGAAAGAAAGTTGTGGCGGAGGCGCCCGGCGCGGTCCGGGGAGGCCGCTCGGACAGAGCCGGAAGCATCTGAAAAGGCCGGCGGGGGGCCGGTGGGCTGGGTCTCTCTGGCTGACGTGCGCGGGGGCTGTTCCCAGGAGCACAGACGCTGCTTGCGCCTTGTCCCGAAGTTGTTTTTTCTTGTCGAGTGAGAAGGAGTGGGCACGGAGCTTAGTAATCCCGAGCTGGAAACTCTGACTCTGCGTCGCGCGGTGCCTCCAGGAAACGCTCGGAGCGGCCCCAGGCGCCGTGCCGTGCCGCGCGCTGGTCGGAGCTAGGAGCCAGAGGGGAAAACTCGGGGGTGCTGCCTGCACGGGAGGTCTCTCTCCGCGGCAGAGAAGCGGCCCGAATGATGCCCGTCTCTTCCAGGCAGCGGAGTGTGTGATAACAGGTGTAGCGATCCCCAGGGCTTGCTCTCGGAGACGCCCTTTCCCGGCAGCCAGGCTGCTTGGGATAATGCAGGCAGGCCTGGCTAATCCACGCCTGGTTTATCCAGATGTCTGGTTTATCCAGATGCCTGGTCTGCGAGCGGCTTAAACGGACCGGCGTCCTCGACGTGCCTGTGCTGCCGGTTGAGTAATCCGGAGGCATTTTTAATCCCAGTAAAAAGGGAGATCTCCGTGGTCGGGGGCCAGGCCTGATGCGCCAGCCGCTCGTGGGAGCAGGCGGGGGTGCAAGTGACCCCGTGGGTGGGCAGCAGCGGATTGACTGCTAAAGGTGGGGGCAGGGGTGGGCAGGCAGGAAGCTGCCACGGGCTTGCAAATGTCTCGCAGTCCCGGTGAAGTGGGGAAGGGTCTGGGCGGGGGGAGCGCTGTGTGCTGGTGGGTTTGAACAGAAGATGGGGCAGAGGCAGGCACGGGTGCCCACGCTCGATCCCAGCCTGTTTGCGTAGCAATGCGGTGTGCCCGCCTGACGGCCACCCAGCACCCAGGCCTGTGCTGGGCCCCGCGCGGTGCTGCCAGGCTGCGTTGCGACCGTGCTCCTCGGACCTGCCTCCGCGCTGCGAAGCCAAGAGCTCGGAGGCGGGTTCTGGCGCTTCCTCTCTGCAGCGAGCGTGAAATAGGCCCTGGGTGGTTTCTCTGGGGTGGGAAAGAGACTGCGGTCGGTGCCCGCGGTTGCAGCAGGGCAGCACTTGGTGGGGAAGGGAACAAGTGGCCGCGGGAGCCTGCAGGCCGCCTGGTTGAGCTGTGGGCTGGCGGGTTCCCGTGAGCGCGGGAGGGTGGGAACCGAGCCAGGGGTTTGCTGCTAAGCAGAGGCAGGAAACCAGCGCCTTGCCTGCCTCTCGTGGACCGCGCTGCGCACTCCAGACCTGCCCCTCGCCCTCAAACGGGGCTGGGACTGAGCGCCCGTCCGCTCGACCTGCCCCAGGTCCCTCGCTTCCTGCCCGCCTCCTCCATTCGCCTGCTTCATCTGTGTCTTTCCCAGCCCGGGAGCTGTCCCCCAGAGCCGTGGGCTGCGAGCAGGGGAACTCACTGCCTCTGCCTGTCCCTTTCAGGATCTAAAAGAGAAGAAGGAAGTCGTGGAAGAGACGGAAAACGGCAGAGATGCGCCGGCCAACGGCAACGCTGTAAGTACCAGCCTGAGGCCCCAGCTTTGTTCCCAAGGACTTGGTGGCTGGTGCTGCCCGCTGGTCCCGGAGCCCCAGGACAGAGGGAGCATGCTGGTAGCGTCGGTCAGGGAGACCTGCCCCCCCGTGAGGCTGGGACGGGGTCTGGTGCCCTGCGTTCACCTTCAAGAGCTCTGGGAGAGACTGCCCAGCTCTGGCACATGGCTCTTCCAAGCCTCGCCAGCAGCCAGGGGCAACGGGTGGGGATCCCTGGCACCCCAGGATACGGTCTTTAAGCTGCATCCCTCGGGGCGGGTGGCCCCTGACCTGCCATCCCGCTGAGGCCCTTCACATGCAACCTCCCGGGTGCGGGTTGTCTAGGCCAGGAACTGGCCAGGGTCCTGGCCCTCGGCCCAGGAGGCGGCGGGGCTGGCGATCTCCGGCGCAGCGCAGTTTTAAGTGAGTGCTCTGTCTCGCCAAGGAGAACGAGGAAAACGGGGAGCAGGAAGCCGACAACGAAGTAGACGAGGAGGAGGAAGAAGGCGGCGAGGAGGAAGACGAGGAGGAAGAGGGTGATGGTAACTTCCCTCTCCCCGCTCCTGCCCTCCCTTTGCTGCCCCTGCCTGGGGTGCTTGGCTGCTCCCCTGGCTGGCCCAAGCCTGGGGTTCCCTGCTCTTCTTCCCCCGCCTCCGTCCGAGCTGCCGGCCCCGGTCGGCTCCCTCGCGTGCCCCAGGGGTGGTTCCAGCAGGGCCGGCCAAGGACAGACTCCCCGGGAGCCCGGCTTGTGACCAGAGACTGCACCAGGGAGACCAACCCCGGCCGGCTTGCCTGGAGAACACAAGCTATTTTTATTGCCTGTTGAGGCCGGGAGGAGGCGGCCTCGCTGTCATTAGCCAGCCGCGCTGTCACAGCTGGCTGCAGCTGGACTAATCGCTGCGCTCCAAGGCTGCGGCACTGACCCACTAACCTGACAGGGCTGGGGCGGGGGCAGACGGCTGGGAAGGGGCTCCAAAGCCTTCCAGGAATCCCGTGGTTGAACAGAGGTGGCGGTGAGCCCAGGCCTCTTGTCTCGTCTTGGGAAGAGACACCCTAGCTGGTTCCCCCTTGCCCCCATCTGGTGCAGAGGAGAGGGCTCTGCTGTGGGCAGGGGCTGGCTCCTGGATAGCTCAGTGGGGTTGCAGGGGGGATGCTCGCCCTTGGGACTAGCCGCCTTTTCCGCAGTCACTTCCCAGGGCTGCCTGCTGCTCTGGAGAGGAGAGGAAGTGACTGCATTGCCTGACTTCCCTGTTTGGGGGCGGGGAGGGGGGTGTTGCCTGGATACCCTAGTAACGAGCCTCCTCCATGCCTGGAGAGATGAGTGTGGATCTTGCAGACCCACTGCACTGTCCGCCCCTCCCTCCCCGTGGGCAGGCCGGGGCTTGGAGCCCCCTGGCATGAAGGCAGGGCTAGGACGCAGATGCCCTAGGCTAGCTCCTGGCTCGTTGCGTGTCCCTAGGTCATCGCTGTGGCTTCAAAGTCACGGCCCAAACCCAGCACTTTGCAAAACCCAGCGAGGGCGGCCAGGGGCTCCCTGCATGTGGTGCCCAGCAGCCCCCCTGTGTCGCGGGATCACCTGAGAGTCCCGGCCCCCCCCCGACATTGTTACTGCCTTGGCTGAAAGCAGCTCAGGCGACTAAAAATGCCCCGATCGGCTTGGTCACCTCGCCACAGCCCAGGATGTGCTGGTCCTCAGAGGCGCAGGCAATATGGTGTCTGAGCACCCGCTGACCAATGCGGGGGTGCGGGTGACCCTAATTCCCAGACGTGTGGCTTGTGCTATCGGTGCAGAGCTCACTTCCTGGCCTTGATACTTGTGAGCGCTGCCAGGCTGCTCGCCGCACAGCTGGGTAAGTCCTGTGCCCCAGCCCTGCAGCCAGGCCACGGGGAAACCAGGCTGCGTTGTTCTGATCCACTGGCCTATTTGAGCCCAAAGTGGGTCAAGTCTACGACCACCTCTTCCCCCTCTCCTTCCCCCGCCCCCCCGCTGTCCAGCCGCCTGCCCGGCCGCCCTGGAGAACGTGCTCGCCGTTGTGGTAATTAGGAAGTGTTGTGACTCAGAACTAATGCGTTCTGGCTCTCTCAACTCATTAAAGGTGGCCTAATAGCGGCGAAGAGAAGCAGAAGTAATGCAGAGCAGTTAAGCAGAGCCGCCGCGAGAGAGCCTTTCCTTTCCAGCGCGAGTGGAGCGCGCCTCCCCCGCGGGGGGATCGAGAACGCACCCACGCAGCCCCTCCCCGCCAGGCTGGGACGGACTAGCTGGAGGGGTCAGCACAGCTCCAGACCCCCCATGCTGAGATCTCCCCCACCCCCGGGCTGCGTAGAGCCGTGGCATCCTGCCAGACCCCATCTGTGTTAGGAACTCACTGCTCGGACCCAGCCCACCAGGGACAGGATGCTTTGGCATCTGACTCGGGGCAAGCCCTGGGTACTTGAAGCCAGAGGGCAGAGGAGGTGGCCCCTGGCTGCTGCATGCTTTGCTGTGCAGCTGGCGCTGGCGACACATGCGAGGCACGGCCCGTGCCCTTGGACCTGCAGGGAGCCGAGGAGATGCCTGGAGTTTGCTTTCAAGGGCTGGTTCCCCTTCCAGCTGGGTCTCTGCCTCCCTGCTTCGCAGCCTGCCCTCCCCACGTCCTTGCAGCTCAGCTGCCGCCGGGGTCTCATGTTCCCTCCTCCCTTCCCCCAGGTGAGGAAGAGGACGGTGACGAAGACGACGAAGCCGAGGGGGCCACGGGCAAACGGGCGGCTGAGGATGATGAGGTGAGCGTGGATGGATCCCAAGTGCTTTGCTGGAGCAGAGCTGGCTGGGTCCCCCGGAGGGATCCACCCTGGCAGGCGTGGGCCAGGGGGCCTGGCTGGGCTCTTGAAGCCCAGCTCTCTCCCCTGTCCCAGGCACGGCTCTCGCGTTTGCCTCTGGGGAGCTGCCCTCGGGGACTCAGCCCAGTTCCATTTATACCCGTGGCCTGCTTAGAAGCGCTCTTGGCTGCAGCTGGAGCAGCCCGTGCTCCCGCCCCGGGATGGCACAGCTAGGAGGGGAGTCTTCCTCCGTGCTCTGCTGGCAGTGGGGAAGGGGGCGGCGCAACCCAGGACGCCCTGGCTGGGTTAGGAAGGGGACGAGGAGGGTGATGGATGCTGAACTCCAGCACAACGGTGCTAGGAACCGGCTCTGCCCTCTCCAGCCCTTGGCCTCTCTTCTGGGCAGTGCCAGCGGCACGTCAAAGGGTGCAAGATACGGGGCCGGTGGGGGGAAGACGGCCGCTTCCCGAGGAGAGCGGCAGCTCGCTGGGTACCTCAGGCTGGCTCTCCCTGGGGTCTGCGCAGAGCCAGGTGCACAGAAAGGCCACTCAGATAAGGCCCCTTATCTCCGCACGGGAGAGGAAACCTAAAACCTGCCTCTAGGAGCAAAGGCTGAATCCCTTCTTGCTGGGGCTGGCAGAGAGGCAGAGGGAACCACGGCCCTTGGCCACTTCACATGGCCGTCCCTGCTCTCGCACCCGCCCCATGGCCCCTCGCAGCCACCCCAGAGCTGGGCGGGATGGGGCATTTGGGCTCCCTAAAACTGCAGGGGTGAGGAGACAGCAGGGCAAAGAGGTGCCAAGGGGGCAGCTGGGCACCTCCAGGCTTCAGCTGAAGACTGGGGCATGACCCTCCGCAGGGGGCCAGGCCTCGCGCCTGATCCAGGCCCCTCCAGCTGTCCCTGTTGGCACCGTGCCCGCTCAGCCCCTGCCCTTCTCCTAACGGCTCTGTTCTTGCCCCCTCCCAGGACGACGAGGTCGACCCCAAGAAGCAGAAAACCGACGAAGACGACTAGGCAGCGCGTTTTGGGGATTTTTTTTTTTTTTTTTTTTTTTAAATAAGGAATAAAAAAAAACAAACCAGAAAGGCCAGCACACCCTCGCCCTCGCCACCCCTGCCCTGGTCACCTTCACCAAGTAGAGCAAGACCCCCCAGCCCCGTCCCCTCGTGCCGCCACCGCAGAACGAGCAGACACAAAAATAAAGATTCCCCCGTTAGCGGGGGCCAAACCCCCCTCCCTCCGTCCCCCCTCAAAGCACCAAAACTTCAAGGCCCTGCTTTCTTTCTTAAAAGTACTTTAAAGGAGAATTTGTTTGTATTTTTTATTTACATTTTATATTTTTGTACATATTGTTAGGAGGTCAGCCATTTTCAAGTGATCTCGGATTGACCAAAAGGGGGGCTTTGAAGTGTATATCTCTCGTTCACCCATCTCCGACTTTACTTGTGCTGTGACCAGGTTCATAAACGCCATCTCCAAGGAGAGGAAAAAAAAAAAAAAAAGCAAAAAAATAAAATAAAAAACCAGTGAAAAAAATGACCAACCTTGTAAAAAAACAAAAAAAAAAACCAAAACAAAAATGCAAAAAAAAAAAAATTACAATCTTATTTCGAGCATTCCAGTAACTTTTTTTTGTGTATGTACTTTTTAGCTGTACTATAGGTAGTGGTTTGTATGAGACGGCAAGGCCAAAGATAAAAAAGGGGTTTTGGTTTTTTTGGGGATTTTTGTTTTGGGTTTTTTTGTTTTTTGTTTTGGTTTTTTCTGTCTATGAAGTTGCTGTTTATTTTATTTTAAGGAAAAAAATAATTTTTTTGGCCTGTTTGATGTATGTGTGAAACCGTGTTGTCCAACAATAAACCGGAATTTTATTTTGCTGAGTTGTTCTAACGAAGCTGGCTCCCAACTGCTGCTTTTTCATTTGATTTCTTTTATTGTTTTCTTTTCTCTCTTTTTGGTTTGGTTTTGAGGTTTTTTGGGAGGGGCTTTTTTTTTTTTCCCCCCACATCCCTTCCCCTTAGGACCCCGGCTGGGGCGGAGGGGGTGTTTCAGGCCCATCTGTGTGGGCGCTCTGGTTGCTTCCTCAATGGCGGCCTGGGCGAGTGAAGGACCCCACGTGGCTGGGGTTTGCTCTGGGGCTTCCTGGAGAATTTAGCATCTCCTTTTTGGAGGGACTTTGCCATGTCCGGGGTCAGTTGGCCTGGAGAGGAGCCGGGAGCGAGGTGAGCGCCTGCACTGGGAGGGTGCTCGGCTCCCCTTTGGCAAGCGTGGTGCCTTGGCAGGCATCGTGGAGGGGCCCGACTCCCAGCTGAGCCTCTGCAAGCCGCAGAGAAGCCAGAACAAGGCACCCGGCTGGAGGAGACGGCGTTTGCCGGTACGGTCATCTGATGGAGCGCGCTTAGGCTCACAAAAGCTGGCGCGCTCACCTGCTTTCTCGCATTAGATTTAGTCTATCGATGCATCTGTGCCCTGCCTTGCACAAGCATCTGCCCAGCCCTGCTGGGGAAAGGATGGGGTTTGTGGTTTGCTGAACCTGCAATGCGTTGGGCTCCAGGCCCAGCCCTGCAGCCCAGTGCATTGCAGG